GTCGGCCTGTCCTCACACCGCTCGTTCTCCTCACACTTGTGCTCCTTGCACGTCGGAATCTCTGCGGGAAAGAAACGATACAACGTAGTTATAAACAGTCCCAGGAACAACAGCGCGAGTGTGTACGATAAATATGACCCGCAGTTATGTCTGGTGGGCTGGCTTCTCATCTTCGTCGTTACCCAAGTACCTGTTTTTTTATAGTTACCGTTTAATAGCCGTTTACAAACTGTTAGCGACCGTTAAATCGCTTGTCGGTTCACCGGCTAACTTACTTGGTACGCACACCTCACACTGCTGGATTTCACACTCTGTCCGCTCCGGGCACTGCTTGGAACACTCTGAAACGAAACAAATGGCGATTTTAAGTGGCTTGTAGTTAACGATGGGCCCGTATTATTATCGCCGTTGATCTTCCCTTATTGTAGTCGTGGAGCGGCAGTAAACGGACCCATGCTGTATGGAATCAAACACGTGAACAAAAAGTCGACGGATGTGAAACTAGTCCAAGCATGGTAGACTTCATAATGCTTTATAATAATTTATCCCTCGCGAAATATCTTCATCATTATTATATTATGAAAATTAAACGTTTCGAATAGCTTCACGCAAATCCATCGCGTCCTACACCAAGGATGCGTCTTGTTTCCCTTTGCAGCTATAATTACAGAAATCGCACCCAGAGAGACGCGTAAACAGCCTCGTCTGACTCGCTCTAACATCCCCGCCCTGGACTCACGTCCCGCAGGCGGCTGGTTTAGTGTGAACGAGGGCCGGGATTTCCTGGCCTGGGCGCTGGCGCACGCCACCAGCACACACAGCACGGTCAGACGCAGCATGGCTGAGGTATCTGGAACACAGAGTGGGAAGTCAGTTAGCAGCTCTACCCGGTAGAGTTAGAGTCTAGAGTCTAGACGGTATAATCTAACGTCTACAGCGTGGGGATAATAGCAGACCAAAAAGGGGCAAACACGGTCTGTTGTAAGTTAACTCAATTTTTAAGCAAACTTTGCAAAAAGGCAAGTTCCTAAAGCCTCCTTCGTCAGCAAGAGAGATATAAAAGTCGATTAATCCACCTCTTTTTCATTGTGGTATATCATTTGATGCTATGCCACTATTTTCACTCAAAGCTCGTTTCGAAAGAAAGCTATGAAAGATTGTCATCAGTTATCCATTTTTCGCACTATTTTGACGCCAAACAATCACACTCTCGATCCACTGTATCCACTGCATCGTGCTGAGATTCACTGCAGATCCACGGCCGTTCCACTCACCGCGGCTCGGTCACGGACGGAGGCTGACAACTGCTCAGAGGACGGCCTCCCGGCAGCCTTTTATACCCACGGCCACGGCTCGCGCGGGGGTGGCGTCTCGCACGGGCTCAGCGGCTCGTGCGGGCTCGGCGTCTCACACGGGCCCAGCGGCTCGTACAGGAACGACTCAGTACGAGGCGGACGGTTCCGGGGATCTGGGAATGGCTTCAGGAACGGAGTGAGAACGACTGAGAACGATGGGAGGAACAGTCAGGAGTGGGTTGAAGAACGGGAGATGACGGACTGAGGGAGGGTTGACGAACGAGCCTGAAAAAAAACGAGATCGAAACTGGATGAGAGACGGGCTAAGACAGGATGAGCAACGGGAGAGGACGAGACGTGAACACAGGCTGAGAAACGAGAAAGGACACACAAGGGATTTAACGAAACGGTGTACATATCTTTTGAAGAAGGGCTGGTGAATAGGCGGAACGGTCCGAAAACGGTGAGAAAAAAAAAACCAGAAGCGGACTGATGAACGAGCGAGAGCGAACTGAAGAACGAGACCGGAAGCGGACTGATAGTAAGGTAATAGAAGGATCAGCAGTTGAATGGAAGGGGAACGGAGTGATCACGAGATGAGGAAGAAAAAGAACGAGATGAGAATGACATATAAGAACGACTTTCTAGCAGGGTTCGCGGGGTCCGGACCGCCCATTTCTTTCCCTCAATGCAGCTGCACTGTACGAGTATGTATTATATAATGAAGGCATTATATAATGTGCATTTTGGGCAAGACCCCCAATCCTTAAACCATGGCGGAGCCCCTGCGTTTCTGGACCGACCGATGACTACATCAAAAACCGAGAATAGAACGATCTGAGAAGCCCGATCTCCGGAATGGACTGAACGGTGGTCAGAAGGAACTGGGAAACAGGAAGACTTTCAATGAACTGAGTAGCGATCTGGAAACGAGGAAGGGACAAGTGGTTCGTTCTAAGATGCAGAAAGAAAGTATCAAGTTGTTTCGATCAGACCTTGAGCTGCTGCTACCTGTAGGTATATGCACGAACAATTAGCCATTGTAGTTGTGTAAGCACTAAAGACAAAAAGACGTGCATAATCAGTCGTATTCGTCAATCACAATAACGTGTCAATACCCACGTTAAACGTAGCCACGTAATGTGTAGTTACAGATAGATAGTTACACTATCACGCATAAGCAGACGCATAGGTATATCTAGTCGTTCTCGTTAACCCTTGGACATTTCGTTTTTAAGAATCGGTCAATATCATCTACTTTAACTCCAATCTTCATGCTGGATAACTCGACAGTTACGAAGTGTTAACAAGTGATTGTCTTAAACTACCTTATAAGTTATAAGGAGGCATAAGGTTATCACTTGTTGGCATTAAGCCTAGCGATGCATGGATTAAGACACGGTAAGATCCCGTCAGGATAGGAGCGGGGCGAGGAGAGGATTTTCTGTGCGGCTGTAGCCACGTCAGCCAGCCTTGGACGGCCAGTCGGCGATTGTCCGATCAAGGAGAGTCGGCCGAGGGCAGGAACACAGCCTCATGCCGCAGCGGTCAGACAGCAGCCTCGTCGGCCACATAGAACGTTCTGTTGGGCCAGAGGTAGACGTTATATAAGCCCATAAACTTGGCAAAGTCTTCGCTCTTGACCATGCTCCAGGTTCCCAATATTCTGGTCCATTGGGAGTAATAAACCTCAGGTTTATCACTCGTAACTTCATCACCGATAAAAACTGCTCCAACGGTAGGATCACAAGCCTGTCTATACATGAAAGGCACCTCGAAATCAGACCATCCTGCAGTCTTGCATGAAAGTGAGTTTATGCGCCAACCATGCGCAAGCTATCAAGAGCTTCCTTTGGAGTGTGGCCAGCAAATTTGTCGGAAACCGTAACACTAACACTCCATGCATCGGAAGTACCTAATGCTACCTTCGCTTCGATCATACCTCAACTTTCGCTGACGGAATCCATCAGTGCCAATATTCAGAGCGGTTAAGAGCTGCGTTTTTGCGTTTCTGGCAGTGACCCTGGCTGGCAGAGGTCAGGGCCGGGTGGGACAGGGACAGGTCAGCCGCGCTCGCGCAGGGACCAGGCAGCGGTGCAGGCTCGCATGCCGCGGGAGGCCAGGGTCACTGCACTAATCCGCCCGCCGCGCTGCCGCTGTCGAAGCCAGCCAACTTCCCGATTTTGTCCGGCCGGAGCCGAACGGAGCACGGCCGCTGACGAACGACGCCGGAGAGCTTTGACGCTTCTGAGAATAAAAGCAATGCAATTACATAAGCGGCGACTGACTCGTGCTGTTAGTATAGACATTGTGCTGCGATAAGACGATGAGTAAGACAATTAGGAATTTCGTGAACGAAAAAATGGACATAGATGAGCTCATCATTGCCACTAACGAAGACCGTTAACAACATTCACTGAAGTCTTGAGGTTCGTAACCGCTTCAACAAGTGGGCAAAAAAGGAAGTTTGTTTACCTTCACAGAATGCAGATCCGCATAGTTCGCTTCACTCAAGACGAGCCTGAATATTAAGTCCAATGTTTATGCACCTATGCATGAATACGCGAGGGCAGCGTCCTCATAACGAGAGAGCAGCGACTTTATCTACAGAAGAAATAACCCCTTGCCTGATGCTGATGGGTGTTATGTGAGGGCCGTAATCTCAAAACACAGCCCCATCTCAAGGAAAGAACACGTAGTAAGCAGCATCGCATGTCAGGTGCCGCTCGCATACCTCCTATACTGACAGTCACTGGAGGGCCGCTAGCATACCTCCAGTGACAGTCAAACACATCTCATGAGTCGTCCGTTTTATGACGGGGTGGGTGGATCACGGGATGCAGGACAATAGGGGTAACGTTGGATGACAGGAACGCGGCCCGATATCCGTAGACACATCTCCTGACATAAAGGGATGTATGTATTGTATACGACTCCATTATCGGCGATCGTAGAAATGAAAGGTGTGACTTATCGAATAGAATGGACAGGTAATAACTTGGCTGTGATCAGAATGTGTCACTGGCTGGACTGATGACGAGTAGGTAATTATGGCTGGGCTGTATAATCATTCGTGATATATTTGATCGCCAGAACGTCGTCATAAGAACAATCAATTTCGTTTAATCACTTATCTCTTTAGCGAAACAGAAACCAAATAAAAATCAGAAACTCATAAAATCCAATCTTCTTATCCATTAGCTCATTCGCTGTTCAAATGCCCTTTCATTCAGGACGCTTGCAGTTAATGGTTTGCCCCGGGGGTACCGAGGCCGGATGCTGGATACCGAGGACTGACAGGAGCCTCTCAGCCCTACGGGGCCAGAAGGCACCGGCCGGACGATCCGCCAGAGCCAGCAGGCAGCTCGAGATAATCCTTAATGTCCGGTCGCTGTGGTCAAGTTCACGGTTTTCGAGCGCCCTTCTTCATGTGGTCGTGCGTTGAGATAGGCTGTGCCGCATTACACTATCGCCTGATGGGTAGGCTGTACCGCGATACTCGATAGAATGACGTGCGCTGCTCCCGTCGCTCATGGAATCCAAGCGCCGAATGCGCGCGCTGTGCTGCCACAACGAAACAATGTGTTGTTGAAAAAGGGTAAATACTGTAGAATGTAGATCGTATGGCATATTTCCAGTCGTCAGCGTTACTAAGGACAGTGTGATAATGGTAATGAGTGACGCCATCGTGATGGATATCTTATATGGTTTAATATGAAGACAGTGGTCACTAGACATTCTTCGAGGGTCCGTATTGGCGACAGTAAAAGCAAGGTTTTTTTCATCATAAGGCAGACTTCACACTCCATTTTCTTTTTTTATTAAAACGTCAGCATCAATGGAAATACACGATGTTCCAGGTCGAGTATGACAGCTTCAACAAAACAACAACATATTCTGCTGCCTGGCACATTTCCGACCCGAAACGCATACTACCCAAATGAAAAGCGACTCGAAGCTCATCCAGGCAAGGTGCACAGCCTCATTTATCAATGCTCACTTCAACCTGAGCAGAGAACAGAGAAAAATGTAACAAATCGAGACACAACACTTCACCACGATTCGGTCGCCTGGCCAGCCTGATACGACACATCACGTGACCACTTTAATCCCCAACAACCCTACCGGCGATCGGTCCACAAATCAAGTGTCCGTCGCTCGCCGAGTATCTTAAAATCACGTATCTCCATCGTTCTCCGGCATGGCCGGCGGCCAGTCGAGCTCGATCGACTCGACGTCGAGGGCGAGAATGTCGAACGTGCCCCCGAGGAGGGTGCCCACGTTCGGCTCGGTCCTGCCCAGGTCACCGTGTACGAACTCCTTGATGTAGGTGCCCGCCTGCGTCTGAAGATGCAGCTGAAAGACAGAACAGAATGTCACAGTGTCGGCAGAGATGAGGCGAGCGAGAGATGGGCGAGGCGACTATTGCCCCGATAGGCGTGCTTTAGTTTATAAATTAAACGTCTCTGAGAAAGCATGGGAAAACACGATACAGCATTTGTGAATGACTTATGTCTTGACAGCATCGAAGTTTTGGTAAAAACAATTAAAAAGACTTCCAAGACATAAAAGAAGACATTGGAAGAAGCCAAACTTCCAAACACATGCAACATAAAAGCACACCAACTTACCCGACATGCCATCAGTTGGATGGAAGGAGAGGGATGGATATTTGTTTATCGGTCTCGGCTCAGCGCCTTTCCACACCGTGCTAACACGCCAAAAAAGGCCGCGGCATGCGGCGGAGATGCCAGCGAGGATTAGCTGGGTCCATGCAGATCAGGCAGAGTACTGTCTGACAAACGCGGCATTAGCATCGGTAATGGTAATGAGGCCCAAGATTAATTGTTCCACTGAACGGACAACAAGCCGGCTACCGACCAATGGCCATGACACGTCTGCCATCGAACTCAGTATGTTAGGAATGCTAATTACGAGTACGAACCAGCTGCAGTGCCTGTGCATCAAGTATCGACTTTGGTGGAGAGTCTATAGAAGATGGAAGTTGAGTATTTAAAATAATTAAAAAGTTTTTTCCCTGACAAGCGGGAGGCTGGAATGCCGATAAGCACTGATGCCACCGATTTTTAAAACAATGGAAAAATTGTAGGGAAATCTTATTTCTTTTTCGTAAGTACAAGAAAAATAAACTATTTGCCTTGAAACGTGAGCATTTACAATTCTTATGTCGGATGCGCTTTGGCAATATTTGTACGCTAAGGAATGCGGTTATCACGTAAAACCACCGATATCGAAGCCAGAAGCTTTTTTAAAACAAGGCAATCCACAAGTGAGCTTTCGTCACGATAGCTTCACGCTCTAAAAAGTACCACTACCATAACGACAATATGCTAATGCAGAGGTAAATATTTTCGGAGATCCGATTAAAATCATATGAAAATATCAAACACCTTCAAGGAAAGCTGGGATTAGCCTCATAAGCCACAACATATTTGAACGAAATGAACATCACACCTGCCATAGCTGACTAACGCCTAATCACTTGCTGATGCCGTATAATATGGATAAAAATATCTTTGATAGATGCAAACACTAGGCGTAAGCCGCAGTGATACCTGCTGGCTGCCAATAAAGCGACAGTCTTATTCTGAGTCTACAGCTGACATTTCACTGTAACACTTTTGCTCCTCATGGACATCATTGCCTGAATGCCTGTCATTTTCTCCACCAAATCCCTGGTAGCATGCCTCTCTCCACTTCTGATAACTATTTTCCATGGGTGTCCCTCGGTGAATGGATGCCAGGAAATGCGCTGTTTATTCACGGCTAGAAACGGCGTTGTCTTTATTCCCGGTAAGAACGGCGGTGTCTATAATCCTGGTAAGAACGACGCTATACTTGAATTATCGGCAAGCGCGGTGTCATTCTCGCCTGCAGAAATGTAAGAACGCTGAGGGGAGAGATGACGGATAAGGGGGGGGGGCGGGGGGGGGGGGGGGTTCGGATAAGACGTCGGCGGGGGTGGCGAGAGACGAGGTCTCTCCCGTCGTCGGCTCGCAGGATTAGTCGGATGGCTGTCGGCAGGCCGGCCTCCGCGCCGTCCCGAGCGCCAGCCCTGACCGACTGAACGAGCCCACTGCTCAGTGCTCATACCGGACGGGCCGGAGACCATTGCCGAACGGACGAGCCAGAGCCCATCCCGAACAGTGGATATTGCAGGCCGCGACCGGTTACCTGGCTCGATCTTGTCGGGTTACGAAAGACGGTATTCTATTGCGATTCGCGAGATATTTCCAGTATGTAGCTGCTTTGGTAACTATTCTAAACGGTTCTGTTCGGTAGCCTTACGTCATGGCTTGCAGTTGGATCGGCCAGGCATGCCTGGACTGAAGACGGCGTAACTGCAAAGAAGTTTTATCGTTGCGGCCGGATATGTCCAGTTTCCACCCCAGCATTTTTTGGATCTAATTCCCCACCCCCTACCACGCCACCACCTTGCGACTTCCTCCCGTCCTCCCACTCTTCATGGGCCCCCTCCCCCAATACATCACACACCGAGGCCCCCTTCCACCCGTAACCCCCCGTCACGCTCCAAGGAAGAGAACATCCCTCCACGTGCCACAACAACCGAGCGATCCGGAACAGCCCTCTCCTCCACGCCACACTCCAGTGAGGTGACATCACACCTCGGGAGACAAATGTGCCCGGTTCCGTGACTGGCGGCTCGGGACGGTTGGCGCGCGGCGGTAACGCGAAATAAATGAGCGGTAAATCTCCGCGCCCCGGCCACAATTCACCAATGACCGTCGTTACGGAGACACTAAGCAGGGAGGAAGGTGGTCATGAGAGAGGTCGTCGGAAGGAATCTAGTGGGTCGGTCAAGGTCGCGGGAAGCGCGCCACGGCCGGGTCAAGGTCACAGAGGAAAGGGAGGAATGGCCTCTGGGCGATGCAATGGGGGCATTACATTTCAGCCGAAGGGATGATAAAAGGAACGATGCGACAGAAAAGGATTATCTCTTACGACAAAGAAGCATTGGCTGAAGCTCGGATGACAAGTGTGCTAGTCTGCGCACCTCCAACCGTTCACCCACCGCCCACTCCTCCTCTCTCTTTCTCCCCACCCACTCACTCGACGCCTGACCCGTCCACCTAAGTCACTAACCCGCTCCCCGACCGCCTTCTGGGAACTACCGAGCGCTACCGTCAGTGCTACTGGGCAGCCAGAGCCGTCTGTCTGACTCACGGCGCCGTGGAGGCAATTAGGGAACGGTGGATGTCCTTAGTCCACAGAACCCGGGATGTCCATCGTCCACGGCTGTCCAACCGTCCACTCACTACTCAGTCCACCTGTCCACGACTGCCCACAGAAGGTCCTCGGGATGTTTTTCGGGGATTCCGGCATTCATTTTATACCACCCACCGTTTGCTATATTACGAAAGACTCGACCAATGATGATACGAAGATGAGGCGTCACTTGAGAAACTAACGAAATTCGACTTCTGCTTAAGGAGATGTCAAACGCCAAACATCTTAAAACGAAGTAACTTACCTAACGTTCACAGAAACAACCAAACCACCGACCAAACCAAACATTCTACCGTCATCACACATCGTTCTCCGAAAACAACCCCACAGGGAGGTAACCACCAATCATGAAGGACATTTCATCGCGTCAGCACGGCCAATTTGGGATGCACCGTTAGTTGAAGCCCCTCTCCTCTTGGGGACAGGAATTCTATTCGGCCTTCGCTTAGTTGATCACCGAACATCGGTAAAGCCAGCCTCGTACATAGGCCGACTGGTGGGCCCAAGGACGGGAGAGAGACGCCGGGCTCAGATGGAAAGCTACACTACGACACTGCTAGGGCTTGATGAGGGTGGCACAGCGCTACCCGCAGATTTGATAAAGACCATACGAGTATGGTAGGACGGCTCCATTCTTCATTGAAATACTGGTGACCAGTGACCACTGAAAGTAAACAAAGCAAGAACGTTTCCACCCGAGCCGCAAAAGCTAACAACCATGCAAACCGCTTGCAGAAACCAGCACCATACCCCATGCATAGTTCACAAGCAACCAAAATCTCTCACACCTAGCAAGAAGTAGCTCTTCACCATCAAGCACATCGCAGCCCGCCAGCACATACCTGATCCTGCCCTTTCCTCAGCCTCTCTCATCCTCCTTCAGCCCCGATTCTACACCTACCTTGAACAAGGTATCAGAAATCGGTTCCGCCTTCATCCAGTGGATCGTCTTCTCTCGCGTGGCCATCGGTCGCCGGTGAAGCACGCGAACCGGCGTCTGTTGGCTGATGACCAGCTCCTTATGGTCGGCGAGGGAGTATAGTTTGTCAGCGCTGACGGGACCGGAGAGACTCTGTACGAGCGCGGTGTACGACTTGGTCTTGTCCTCCTCGCCGCTCTTTAGGTGGGCAGTCTGCTCCCTGTGGGGAGGGAAGGAGGGAGGGGTTAGTTTTCAGTTGGGTAGGTCTGTCCCTTGCGGTGGGGTAAGGTAAATACGGCCTTGAAGTTTAGAATACAGGACGCAGACCACGTACATAGTGTGTACGATTGAACGATGAGCGGCTTGCCTTTTATGCGGTGGCATTACAAAAGATAATCAAAATTCAGCAGCTCAAACTGTGAATGCTAGTTGGTTAAAATATTACGATGCGTTACAGCTATGGGGAGCGTTTGTGATTCTATGAATGGTCAACAAAGTCGCCATAAGGATCATCCCTTGATACCTGGTCAGTGGTCAATGCACCACAATAACCCCTGCTGGTATGAAGCGAACATCCAACAAAACTGCGCATGGTTGCACCGCTCGAACGCCAGGGAGACACTAAGACGGAAGGCCAGGGGACTTTAAGACGCTGCATCGACCGAAACGCTATTACGCCCATTTGCCAATGTCGGATGGTTCTCAGATAAACAGAGTGCAAGGCCGAGTAAGCATTCCTGATCGTATTGTAGCGTCCCGAGTGGTTTATGGCCAGGACGATTGTGGAGTTCGATGTCTGAGGGTGGTGGCACATGAGCAGAGAGGCCCACGAGGAGTACATTTTTGGAATATCTGCATTCTTATTTAGAGCTGCTGGAGACGCATATCTAAGGAGGACAAACATAATTGAGGAAACCGATGAATAAAAAGTAACGCTAGGGCTGCAATCTGCATCCAAATACAGAGCTTATTCACCAAGAAATGCGGGACTAGCATTGCTATTTGGCTGACTACACACAGAACATTGATAATTGGCTGAGGAGTGTCCAGAGGTAAGCGACATAAGAGTTTGAATGCAGGAAATGACGGTCAAACCGTCTATCGTGCACAGACATGACTATTTTTTTCAGTGACAGTCGCTTCCCATTATCTTCTAAAGAATCCATCATACTACCAACTCCACCCAGCTTTACCAATACAAATGCCAAATACTTAAAAAAAGGATATTCATAACCTGTTCACATTGAAGGTCAATGAACAATAGCCTCTGATAGTTTGCTGCTAATCCACCCTTGAACAGTGGCCTAATGATTAGTTCAAGATCCACTCTTGACCACAGCAAGGGTCACTAGCTCAAGGTCTGTTCCTGACCAGTGACCACTGATCCTGTCATCCCTGACCACTGACCTTGTGACCAGTTGCCCACTGACCACTGACTCCTACTGTCCCTGATCAGCGACCCCTACCATCCCTTCACTGACCCTACCGTACCCCACCCTCACTAACCTGGTGACCAGCTGCAGGTCTCTGACGCGCACCTCAGGATGCGCAGCGTTGATCTCCCGCTGCAGCTCCAGCAGATCCTTGGGCGTCAGCAGCGTGACGTGCGGGTCGGTCAGCTCGGCCACGAACGGCCGGCCACGTCCCAACGTCCGCACGTCCACGTCCTCACGGCCGGACGCCGAGAAACGCACTCCTGACGGTAGAGGGGGGGGGGGGGGCGGTCAGAGGGGGTGGTACTAAATTCAGCACGGAGGTATGTGTTGTGTGTGATGACAGTGTGTTATTGGATTTAACACGGTCAGTTACATAACTGGGGAGGGCAGTAGCCAACCGTCATAACTCATAGCCAAATTGAACTTTCATCCTCAAGACCACTGCAACATCATTTTTTAGTCGTACTAGCTGTTGCAATCAACCCATAAAAACAACAAGCCTTCCGCTTAACACAACGCAAAATTGAAAAGGACATGTTGCTCCACACGAAAAAAGCGACGAGTTTGAGCTAATGCGCGATGTCATCTCTGTCGACCATTAATTAGCTCAGTCCTAGCGCCGGCTAAAAAGGCATCTTAATTCCGTGGTAATCTCTGATGACCGACGCCTTCTGTGATACGCCCCCGCACATAAGCTCATTTCTACATAATAACAATGAATTGTCGGAATCATTTGACGTTTGGCTACTGGTTTTATGCCCAAGTTATTTGGTATTTACACCCACTCAACAGCTTTAGAAGAATCGTAATTACCTACTCATCATCGACATATCTTGAAGCATAACGCAGTCTTCGACTCCAAGCTTTTAGGGGAAAGGCAAAGGAGTGAATATGAAAACCTAACATATGAAGCTCCTTAAAACAAAAACATTTTATCTGTAAGCATTAACATTCGAAGTAAGAGGATCGTAACAGCCACAGATAACAGTAGTACTGGATTGGAAACAGGATTCCGGTGGCTGCAGTAAGAGGCCGAAAACAGAACCGAATATTTCGTGCCCAGACTTCGATATCTCCTCTCACAGGAAAAAAAAATTTGTTTATGTGAATGAAACTTATAAAGAAGCAATCTAGCCGTGCTCGTGTTTATTGCTGCATTTTTGCATAATTGCAACTTATTTTACCAAACGTTGCTGGTTACACTTTCCTCACCGTGGTGAGGGACCGTATGTCACTGATTTGATTATAATGATTTCCCACTCTCATCCACAAAAAGTACTTGTACATGGGAGTTTGATCTCTTCATTACATGCTAATCGACACCAGTCCTGTCACAACGAACCATCCAAACGTCACAATTCAAACCAACGTCACAAAACACCCCTTCAAGTGTCACTTCGCTTCGCCTGCCCTGCCAATTTCATCAGCGACCTTACTTCCCCGCCTTACATCTTCTTGACCCTGCTGAGCTTGGCCTCTTGTCGCTCCTCGATCGGGTTGCACCTAGGGTGCAACCCGATTGCCGCTGGGGTGTCTGCTTCCTGCCTTTCGATGGACAGCACTGTCTTGAGTGTCTGCCTCACATATCAGTTACCATGTTTCCACAATTTCCAGCAAATAGATTGAAAACCGTCGCATACATCTCTGGAAGGAGGCTCCTAAGGACGCCGTGGCTATCATTGCAAACGACTTCCGGTCAGTTCGACATCCCGGTTTACGACTTCGACTTCGATCTTCGTCACTTCTTGGTTGATCGCAGACCAGCAGCTGGTTCCTGTTAGCTTCCGTCTTCGGCAGTTGCCTCCAAATATGGCAGATCCTCACGGTGAGGTCGATGTCTTCCTCGTCTTTCTCCAGTCGTACCTCCAGCGGCGTAGCCCCAAGATAGATCAGCAGGCTGGTGGAGGCACCGTACTTGTTACGTCTGGTGGCCGAGCGTGCCAAGACGCCAGAGCTGTGTCCCAGGGAGGCCTTGGCGCTGTCATCCAGGTCCTCTATTTCAGTGGATTTCGCCACCGCTGCCACTGGCTCCTGGATGACAAGAGCACCATCCTGCTGTCACTCCTGCTGTGATCCTGATGATGCCATTCGGGCGGAGGCGTCGGCGGGGCTGAAACGTGATCAGTGACCACCATCTGAGGCCCTTCGTTCGACTTCGGAGTACCGCCTCATTCTCCAGGAACTGTCGGACACTCGACCAGTTGTAGTTGCCACCTGATAGCTGACATTGTCATTCGTGAAGAACGCATCGGTCTGGTCCTTCATAACCTGCTTCTGGTGTGAGTGGCGTGCGGATGCCATGGCTAGTTTCGCTGGCCGCTCGTGCACAGGGGGCTTCGCGTAATCCACGCTGGTCAATACTGACAGGACTGCGCCGCTCTTGAGCCGACGGCGCTGTCTCTGCATGCTGATGCCGGTGCGAAATGACCGATCATCTTCGAAATCTTCCTTTCTGAAATGCAGCTCACACATGCAGCGGAATAGTCCTGATTTCACTCAGCCCGGTCGCGGTGACCCATGGCGCCAACCCACTGAGCCCGTAGAGATGTTTCGGTGAGAAAAGCGAATAGGTGGCATGTGAGACATCTGTTTTAATCTTTTGTTCCTCTTGGTTCGTTGGGTTGTAGCCGGAACGGCAGTTTTTACCGCTCATTCCCCTCCTCCATTGTTGATGTACCTATACGTATGTAAGGCTTTGCACCACACTTTGTTTTCAAAAGAAAACACCACGCATTGTGCCCTCTAAATAATCAAGTTAAAAGTGAAATACTTTAATTTTTTAAGCAAATGAAAGTAACAATGGTAGCTTCGATTTCAAATGTAAACGACAAAACACAAAAATGACGATTTCTTGACAAAAAGACGTATATTGAGGCACAGAGCAGCATATTTTAATAAATCCAACCGGTTTCAAAGACCTCTCGTCTTCGTCATCAGGGATTGAAATATACAGAAAGGAGAAAGGTTACATATTTATAAGCGCTGAAGAGAATAGCTATAATCATGCTTTTTCTGTTAGAAAACGCGTGGAGAGCGTGCTTAAAAATAAAGGTCACTAAAGGTCGTCATTCACTATTTCTTGTTGACGTCTTTCTTGAGGAGGTCAATCCATCCCTGGTAAATTGTATATTTCCCAACGTTTCTGTTCATCTTTTCTTCGGTTGAAGCTTGGATATATCGCTTCTTTTATTTCTCTTTGCTTCCTTTTAGCCTCAAATCCAATCACTGATGTGTTCTCCCATTTTATTGTATGTCCTGTGTCGTAGCTGTGTTCTGCCGTTGCTTCCGATGTTTGTGGGTCTATGTTGCCCGAATTGAGTTTTTTAACACTTTTTTGGTGTTCTTGTTGTCTAACTTTCACATTTCTTTTGCTTTCTCCAATATATACTTTAGGACATCCGTCACATTGCATTTTGTAAATGGGTCCTGGTTTTTCTACAGCGTTGATGGTGTCTTTGGGCCTCACGAGCAGTTGTTTCAAAGTCTTGTGCGGTTTGAAGTAAGTTTTGACGTTAAATTTGGAACACACTCGACGTATTTGTTGAGAGACTCCGTCCACATAAGGAATAACCATGACCGGGGATCGTTGCTGTGGTGCCGTGGCGTCTGGTGAAAGTGCAGCATCATCCTGTATTTGTTGTTGCGATGGTGCTGGTGCCCTTGTTGTCGATGGGGTTGTCTGGTGTTGTACTGGCTGGTGTTCTGCCTCTCGATGCTGTCTCTCGACTTTGCTGATTTCTGACTCCACGTATTTAGCTGGGTATTTGTTCTTTCGCAGGTTATTTCTGATATGGTCAAGTTCCCTTTTCCGTATTTCTACACTGCCGCAGATGTTGAAGGCTCTCTGGGCCAGGGTGTGTATGACAGTCCGTTTGTGTTCCTGTGGGTGATGACTCAGGTAGTTAAGATACTGCCCGCTTGATGTTGGTTTGTAGTAGACATCTGTCTTAATCTTGCCGTCAGGGGAACGCTGGAGAGTCATGTCCAGGAACGGCAGCCTTCCGCTTTCTTCCTTTTCCACCGTAAACTTGATAGATGGATACAGTGAGTTCAGAGTTTCCAGGAAAGGTTCGATTTCAGACGGTTTCACTGCTGCTAGTCATCCATGTATCTGTGCCAGATGTATGGGGCCGTTGGATATGAGTCTAATACTCTCTTTTCCAGGTTTTCCATGAATATATTGGCCACGACTGGTGCCACAGGTGAGCCCATAGGTGCACCGAACAGCTGTTGATAGAAGCATTCACGGAACTGGAAGAAGGTTGTCCTCAAAACGAGCTCCAGCAGCTCCACGATGTCGTCAGGAGTGAGGCTCGTTCTGTCTGCCAGTGTCCTTTTTCATAAAGATTCTACAATCCGATTGTAGTTTGTACATTTGTAGTTTTCAAAGTACAATTTTACAAACTACTACTTTTCATAAAGCCTGGACATGCGGCGTCAATAGAATTGTACTTTCGATCCGGGAGCGTAGTTTTGCGGGGCTTCGTCTCCATGGCGACGGAGTAAACAAAAACTTCTGCAACAGTTTTCGATGTTGTGTTGCAAATTGCGTATGGTGTGCTGACAGTTTTTTTGCAATTTTTAGAAAGAAATAACCATTGATAAATAACTTGAATTGCTTTTAGGGATCAGCCATCGCTTTGCCCATGCATAGCTAGAACTTTTATGCTGAAAGTATTAACATTTTCAACATTGTAATCATTTGAAGATGTGCCTGTTTCGAGATTTGGTATCTGAGTAGGTAAGCCCAACAAGTCATTAGTTTCTTGAAAGACTGTTTCATGAATTGTTCAGACAATAATGCAAAAATGACTGAAAAAGTTTTAGGTATGACCTCAGTAAGCCTATCCGAGTTATAGAGTGGCAATAAAGGATGTTGTTGACCGTCATATTAGGTACCTACCTAGCGACGGGCTATATGACAGCTTGCTTTGAGCCTTGAAATACCCGTTTTGATAAGTAATGCAACCTAGTGAAACATGAAGCAACAAGAAAGCCAGCGAATAAAATGCCAAAATCAAAATGCAAGAGCATTGTGACGAAGCGAGAAGCAAATAGATGGAGCCGGAGGCTGGAGCTACCCAGGAGACGGGATGAAAACTGATGAAAATACAAGCCTTTCCTAAAGGAAATGAATTACATCTTGAAGAGAATTACATCTTGAAGAGAAGGTGCATGGTCATTCCATGTGTTGGTTGAAGAGACTGAGCCGGAAACGAATAGGACATGATCGTAAGTTGCTCTTTTTCCAGAAAATTTC